GAGTCAATGCCTTTGTCCTAGGGTTGCTAGATTAAACACAAACCATGTATAGACTTATTTAATTGGAAGAATAATGAGAAAATCACAAAATTAAAACCAAGACTTCTGAAACCAAGACTCAGTATCACCAAGGCACATACTTTCATGTCTGCTTGATTCTCTTCTATCAACAATCTCTCTCCACCTGGACAATAAAATGATTGGCAAGGTTTCAGGTTCACATCTTCTTATCTTCAATAATTCTAATATAAACACACATATTTTCTTCTAGCATCTACATATTAATTTCCCAGAGGGACTTTTTATAAATTTGACCTATGCTGTCTTAGACTTAACTCTTGAAATTATTTTTGCTAGAGAAATGCGGAGTAATGGGTTACATGTTGGACTGCTAACTGCAATGTTAGCAATTTGAATCCACCAGCCACTTGACAGGAGAAAGATGAGGCTTTCTGCTCCTATAAAGATTTACAGGCGAGGATTGCTATGAGTAGAAACTTACTCAAGAGCCCACCACCACTACCACCAGAGAACCCATGATGAATCCATATTGTACCATGTTGTCTGCCAGGCAGTATGTCGGGCATTGAGGATTTAACAGTGAAGAGAAAAAACAACAAACACCAACAAAAACAACTTCAACAAACCACTACCACCAACAAAATACCACTGTTTCGACACTTAAAAAATGTATAGCCTACTTGTGTTAGGTGCCACCTACAGTAGGTTAGGTGCCACCTACAGTAGGTTAGGTCCTACTCATAGTGATCCTACATATAACGGAAAGAAATACTGCCTGGCCTATGTCATCCTCACAATTCTATGTTTGAGCCCATTGTTTCAGGCACTGTGCTAATCCATCTCCTTGATGATCTTCCCCTTTTCACTGACTTTCTACTTTACCAAGTATGATATCCAAAGTACGTAAGATGAAACCATGCCACCCTCACTTCTAAGTGTGTTCTGGCTGTACTTCTTCCAATACAGATGCTTGTTCTTCTGGCATACCATGGTTATTTCAATATTCTTCACCGACATCATAATTCAAATACATCAATTATTTTCCAGTCTTCCTTATTCACTGTCCAACCTTCACATATGTATGAGGCAGCTGAAAATACCTGGGCTTGGGTCAGGTGCACCTTAGTCCCCCAAATGACATCTTCCATGAGCACTGATTGTCGATACAAATAAAATGAAATCCTTGACAGCTTCAATCTTTTCTCCATTTTGCATAATGTTGTTTACTGGTCTAATTGTGAGGATTTTTGTAGGATAGAGAATTCACACAAATAAATGTAAATTCACCATGGTATGTATCATGAGAAGTATATGGTACTAGGAGACCATAGCAGGGAGAGTGATTCATTCTAGAAGTTCAGGGAAATCTTCCTTGGAGTGATGGCAGAATTTTCATCACAATGAGAAAGGCAGGGATGGAGACTTCTAGGCAGAGGTTAGAGCCTGTACAAAGTCCCTTTGAACTCACTAAGCATTACTCACTGGAAGGCAGGAGATAAATCCAGTAGGGCTAGGAAGCGAGGCCAAGGAGGTGGGTAGGGGAAAGACAGGCAGATTAGTATGTTGTTGTTAAATGCCATCTAGTTGGTTCAGACTCACAGAAACCCTGTATAGGATTTCCAAGGAGCGCCTGGTGGGTTTGAACTGTTAACCTGTGTTTAGTAATCTAGTCCTTTTCCTATAGCTCTACAACAGGACTGATAGGTCATATTAGGTGTTTTTTATTTTATCAGTTAAATGTCATTTAAATGTTCTAAGAGGGTGGGGAAGAGAGTAGATGTGAAAAAAAATTTCTATCTTGGAAAAATGACTGCATCATTTGCAAGATCAGGCTAATAGAGAGTAGATTGTGGAGTTGAATCTCAGTGACTGTGAGATTGTTGTTGTTAGGTGACATTTACTTGGTTCCAATTCATAGCAAGTCTATGCACAACAAAACACTGCCCCATCCTGTGTCATTCTTACAATTGTCCTTATGTTTGAGCCCATTGTTGCTGCAACTGTGTCACTCCATCTCATTGGAGATCTTTCTTTTTTTCACTGACTCTCTGGTAGTGTAGTGGTTACGAATTGGGCTGTGAACCTCAAGGTCAGCAGTTCGAAACTACCAGCCGCTCCGTGGGAGAAAGATGAGGCTTTCTGCTCCCATAAAGATTTACAGCCTCAGAAACCCTGTGCAGGGTCACTATGAGTCGGAACCGACTCCACGGTACTTAACAACCACCACTTTTCAAAGTATGGTTTCCTTCTCAGAGACTAATCCCTCCTGACAACATGTCCAAAGTAGAAGAGCTGAAGTCTCACCATCCTCACTTCTCAGGAACATTCTAGATGTACTTCCAATACAGATTTGTTTGTTCTTCTGGCAGTCCATAGTACTTTCAATATTCTCCAACACCATCATTCGAATGCATCGATTCTTCTACAGTCTTCCTTATTAATTATACAACTTTCACATGCATAGGAGGCTATTAAAAATACCATGGCTGTGTCAGGTGTACCTTAGTCCTCAAGCTGACATCTTTACTCTTGAACACTTTAAAGAGGTCTTGTGCAGCAGATTTGCCTAATACAATATGTTACTTGATTTTATGACTGCTGCTTCCATGAACACTGACAATCCAAGCAAATTGAAAATTTTGATATCTTCAATCTTTTCTCCACTTATCATTCTATTTATTTGGTCCAGTTTTGAGGAGTTTTGTTTTCTTTACACTGAGGTGCAATCTACACTGGAGGCTTTGATCTTCATCAGTATTTCAAGTCTTTGATCTTCATCAGTAAGTATTTCAAGTTCTTCCAGCAAATAAGGTTGTATCATCTGCATATTGCAGATTGCTAATGAGTCTTCTTCTGCCAACCTTGATGCCACATTCCTCTTCATACAATCAAACTTCTTGGATTAATTGCTCAGCAAACAGATTGAGTAAATATGGTGAAAGGATACAACCCTGACACATACCTTTCCTGATTTTAAACTATTCAGTATCCTCTTGTACAGTTTTAATGACTGCCTCTTGGTGTATGTATAGGTTCCACATAAGCAAGATTAAGTGTTCTGGAAAACGCATTATTTGCAGTGTTATACATAGTTTGTTATGATCCACAAACTACAAAAAAATGACTTTGAGAAGACACACAGAATTTTAAATGGATTTCCAACTAACAGCTTTTAGTATTCCTGCCTCCTCCTCCTTTCCCATCAAGTAAGTCATTATTATTTTTTTTAAATTAAATGAATAAAAACAGTATTTAGATGAGTGATTATCTACTTTGCAAAATTCTCAATTTTTTTTGCCATGTTTTTGACTGTAGTCTGTGTTATCAGGTACACCAACTTCCTCTACTAGGAAATTAACAAAAAAAGAATCCCTACACAATATATGATAAATGCTGAAACCCACTAGAATTGTTTGGTTCCTACATCTTCTTAATTTCTAGAGATCTCATAGTTTAAAATACTATCTATACCCATGAGTCATTGGAGGTTAGTGGGGGACTGATGGGAGAATTCTCAACTTCCATGTGGGAGACCTGTGTTTGATTCCGGCCAGTACCCTCATGTGCAGCACCACCCATCTTTCAGCGAAGATTTGTGTATTGTGCTGCTTAACAGGTTTTAGCTGAGCTTCCACACTAAGACACTAGGAAGAAAGATCTGACATCTCCTTCAGAAATTAGCCGATGAAAACCCTATGGATCTCAATGGTCAGATTCTCTTGTGTATGAGGGGTCTCTGTGAGTTGTGGAGACTGTAGGACAGCTAGCAACAGGGAAATAAATATTTACTTTCCTGACTCCCTCTAAATCCTAATATAAACTACATGAGATCAAGGGCCTTAAATCTTTTCTTTAGTGCTGTCCCTCTTGTGCAGACGCTCCATAAATACTTGTTGGAGTTAATAAGTAAATCTTTTGTACCAGCACATATGTGTTAATTTACGAAGATGTTTGAGTCTGTGAAATTTGACTGTGGCACTCAGACAAAGAAAACCCTAGAACATTGCATTGAATGGAAAGTGGGTTCAGCTAGTTGAAGCAGGTTCCACACGCTGTTCCAGTTTTTCCCCAGGAGACACTTTACAAAAAAAAAAAAAAAAAAAAAATCGAAGCCTGCACCCTTCTATGTCCGTTTGGCCATTCTGAGCCATTGCTCTACATCCCACCCCTAGTTGACCACCTTCTTTGCCGCGTTCCCCCTCTAAACTAGCGAGCACAAACGCGGCTTCTGGCTGGAACACACACAGCAGCACCAGGTTCAGAATCTCCTAGTCTTCACAGAAACATTCATCCTAGCCTACATGGGAGATTTTAATCAGGTAGTTAAAAGGGCACACTTTTCGTTGACCTCCTCCACAACGCTAATAACTTAAAACTAAAAAGCAAGCAAGAAATCTTCGCACACTAAATCTTCAATACAGACACGGGTTAAGTAAGAGAGAGAACACAGCCAAAAGGGGTTGCTACCAGGCTCCATGGTTTATGGGAAGCGAAGTCGGCGTCAAATGCCCTGATCCAAAATGGCAGGTTACCTACGCGTGCGCATAGGGGTGAAGATAGGGCCGTTCGGAGAAGCCAAGATGAGGGCGTGCGAAAGGAAAACTGTCTTGAACAACTTGAAGGAGGTAGTTACGGGAACTGAATAATCAGGAAGGACGGCAGCATCCAAATATTCGTATTCCAAATAGCGACACTGACCCAACCCAAGATGGCGACGTAGGTTATTACTAGCAGCGTAAAAGAGGCAGGCGGTGATTACGCAGATCCATGAAAGCAGCAGAAATTGAGACGAATTGAGGGACCCGGAGCGCCAGCAGCATCTTTGCCCTTAACCAAGATGGCAACCGCCGTTGGCGCTGTCCCTAACTCCGCCCCTCGGCGTGGGCCCCGCCTCCCCCTCGTCTCTCCCTCCGCCCCCTCGCCTTGCCCAGTCAGGTCGGTGATGCTCACGCATGGAGAACCGGCTACGGGCGCTTGACATGGCGGCAGCGGCGGCGACTGCAGCGACGAAAGGGAATGGGGGTAGCGGTAGCCGGTCTGGGTCCGGCGAAGCCAGCGGCACGCGGAAAAAGAAGGGCCCGGGGCCTCTGGCCACGGCGTACCTGGTCATCTACAATGTGGTCATGACGGCTGGGTGAGGCTGAGGCACGGGGACTAGGGAGGCGGGCAGCCAGCTTGGCCAGGGAGGGGGCTCTGCGTGCGACCGGAGAAGCTTCTCGGCCCTCTTCGTGCAGTGCATCCCTGGCGGTCGGAGTCCGGGCCCCGGGCACCGGGCCACGAGAGTGGTTGAGTGTTGAATCGGCCCTGGCCCTTGCCCTGGAGCTCCGCCCGGAGTGGGGGGCCGAGCCAAGTTCCGGGACACCAGGTCTGCCCTGGGCTTGGAGTTCAGTTGGGGGAGAGAGATGCGGGCTCAGAGGGGGCGCGGGAAAGGCTGCCCAGGCGCTGGTTCAGAGGGTCTTGGGAGGACTGTGGGCTGGTCCCCACAGGACCAGGTCTGAGGGGCGGTGTGCCGCGCGATCCTGCAGCGCGGAGGGGGCGAGCCCAGGCGGCCAGCCACGAATGGTGTGGAGGAAGCTGTGGCTGCAGAGTGACCATTATTTGGGCGGCTCTTTTCAAAATCCAGGCTGAGTTTTTATCAGAAAGTAATCAAAGTTTTTGACCAGTTCCATGAACAGAGCTGAGATCAAGTGAGTTTAGACTTTTGAGGATGGAAGGCAAAGTTACAGGGAAGAAGAAGGGGGCAGACCCTTGACTCGGGCTTTACCTGTCTTGTTTCCCCCTCCTTTCAGTCCAGTTCCATCCCAACTAGAACTAATGTTTGTTTTAGTTCTGACACTAGTTGTGTGACCTTGGATAGATCACTCTTTTTTTAAGGCCTCCATTTTTCATCTGTAAAACTAAAGAATTGGGGTTACGTGAGCTCCAAGGTTCCTCCAGCTTTGCAATTCTTTGATCTGGTGGTTTTAACAGTGGAAGTTCACTGGGTCAGATGATTTTGTCATGTATTTTTAAATTGCATTTGTCAAAAGAAAAGAAAAGGTTTTCCCTAACATTTTATTATGAAAAATTTCAAACATACAGAAAAATTGAAAGCTGTATAGGAAGCATCCAGTTTATTTCTTTTTAAAAGGCATTGGCTAGTGTGGCACTGTAGGGTAAGCACTGGACTTCTAACAACTATGAGTCGAAATCGACTTGACATCACTTTACAGCAATACATTGTCAGTGTTCAAAATCCAAAATATACACAAGGGCAGAGTGAGAAATCATCCCTTTCACTCTTTCCTTCCATCCACACCCCCTCCAAAGAGACAGCAAATTTTGGTATCCTTCAGGTGCAAATTAGAAGTACTGGCAATGCTGTGTCTAAGTGCTGGACTGCTAACCCACCAGCCTTTCTTGGGGAAAAAGATGAGGCAGTCTGCTTCTGTAAAGATTTACAGCCTCTAAAACCCTGTGGAGAAATTCTACCCTGTCTTACCAGGTTGCTTTGAATTGTAATCAACTCCACAGCAATGGGCTTGGTTTTATTTTTTTCAGATGCTGTCATAAACAAATATGTGTATACATTCTTCCCTTCCTTTGGCCTTTTTAAACACAAATGGTAATGTCACTTATTTATAATTTTGCATTTTTATATTTTATAATTTATAAAATTGCGTCACTTTGCATTTCTCATACACACCGGTAGGTAGTATTAGAAACCATAGTGTTGAAACATAGTCTCAGAAGTTGTGACTTATTTGACTTGTTGGAGGATTTAGAACTTGTTAGTAGTAGATCTGGATCTAAAACCTCTTTCTCTTGACTCAGAGGCCAAAGAAGAAGTACTACAGAGACAAGTTGTTGTTTTTTTTATTCACATAAATTGTCACATAGACTGATAAAGAACATTCAAGAATCTGTGATACTTTTATGGAACATTCTTATTGTCTTAGCCAGGGCATTGACGAGAGCATTGGACTAGAGAGAGACTTTGTCCATTGGATAAGGGCAGCGGCTGCAATGGCATGATATGCTGTGGAGTTGGTTCTGACTCATAGAGACCCTGTACAGGGTTTCCGAGGCTGTAAATCATTACCGGAGTAGAAAGCCTCATCTTTCTGAGCAATGAACATAGAAATGGTAAAGGGTAATGAGCGGTCTTAAATCAGGAAGAGAAATTGAGATTATGAGTGTAAAATCAGCTTTTTCTACATTTCTAATGGGATTTTTGCCAGGTTGGTGTAAATGGTTAACACCTTGAGCTGTTGACCAAAAGGTTAGAGGTTCAAGTCCACCCACAAGCACCTTGAAAGAAAGACCTGGTATTCTGCTTCTAAAACAAAGTCAACCAATGAAAACTCAGTTTTACTCTCACACATGAGGTTGTCATGAATTTGAGCTGACTCTACAGCAACTGACAACAGGTTAAAATGAAATGTCTTATTTTCTTAAAGAATCCATTTCTCTCACAAACTATATTTTTGAGGTTCTTGTATATTTTCTGGAAGAAACATAGACCACCTACCCTATTTTCTCATTGAGATTGTGTTGTGGTGCCATCAAGTTGGTTACAACTCATAGTGGCCCTGTATAGCAGGGGGTGGGTAACCTTTTTTCTGCCAAAATGTATAACATCATTCACAGACCGTGCAAAATTATCAACTTAAAAATTAACTTGCTAAAAAAAAAAAAAAAAAAAAAATTAACTTGCCATATTTGGTCAAACATTTAATTACCTCACCCTAATGTGATCTCAACAGCATTTAACAACAACAACAATATAATGACTGGAACTGTGGTTGCTTTGACAGGACCAGACAAAATGATTTCTTGAGCCTTATATGGCCCATGGGCCTGACGTTCCCCACCCCTGCTGTATAGGGTTTCCAATGTTGTAAATCTTTGTGTGAACAGCAAGCCTCATCTTTCTCCCATGGAGCAGCTGGTGGGCTTGAACTACAGAGCTTGTGGTTTGTACTCCAGAGCTTGTCCTACACAGCCACAGTGCTCTCCTCACCCCCACCCCCCATTGAGATTGTACACTTAGGTAAATTCATTGTGTCCTTCAAGGTGACATACCTTGAAATTAGGTCCATTTGTTTTATCATGGTGCATAACAGATTTTAAAATATCGAAGGGCTTAAGAAATCTGTTTTTGAGAAAAGCAGTAGAGCAGAAATGTTAGCATTCGCAGCTATAAGCCTAAGTGGTTTGTTTTGTGTTTTGTGTTGATTTAGCTTTTTTTTTATCCTGAGTTTGGAGAATTCTGCTAAACAAAACCCCCTTTCTTCTTATTTCATTTGCAATTTAAAAAGATAGATTTGAAGATATGGCCATGTTCCAGTGAGTTGCTTAAACATTACACATCTTAAAACATTTTTTCTCTACCTCTTTATTCTTAAAAGGAGCCCTGGTAATGTATAGTTGATACATGCTGGGCTGCTAAACACAAGGTCAACAGTTTGAATCCACCAGCTGCTCCTCAGAAAAAAGATGAGGCTTTCTGCTCCTATAAGATTTACAACCTCGGAAACCCTACACAGGGCCTCTATGAGTTGGAACCAACTTGGCGGCACACAGCCACCACCACCACCACCATTATTATTAAAGACCCTTTAACCACTCAGGCTATTTAAATTTTTTCTTTAACAGTTTTTTTCTCTTGTCTTAGACTTTCCGGCATTGTCCAAAGATCACTTCACCTTATTCCCTTCACTTTGGCATTGTTCTGAGGAGGCAAGGTTTCCAAAACACTGAGCTCTAGCTAGGTGAGGTGCCATCACGCGCTTGCGGCACACTCTTGGTTGGGTACTGGTGGTGGTGCAGCATCTGTGCCCTACAGCCTGGCTCTTGCACGCAATAGTCAATAAATCTAGGATACCAATTCTGAATTTTACTTCCAATGTTTGGGGAAAACAGTGAAACAAACTTATACTAGTATTTTAGCAATGTGAATTGCCATGTCTTTCTATATCTTAAACCGCACTTACCTGCCTTTTTTTTTCTTTGGTTGTTTTTTTCTGTGCTTGATATTTTTCTTTTCCTCTTTTCCTTAGGTGGCTGGTGATAGCAGTTGGTCTGGTCAGAGCATACTTGACTAAGGGTAGCTATCATAGCCTTTATTATTCAATTGAAAAGCCTTTGAAATTCTTCCAGACTGGAGCCTTACTGGAGGTAGGTCCTGAGATTTGTTGTTATTATTGATTTCTATTGCCATAAAGTTAAACAAAAATAAAAAAGTGCTACTAAGCTATGTTAAGAAGCTCTGGTAGCAGACGAGTCAGGTGCTAACTTCAAGGTCAGCAGTTTGAAACTACCAGTTGTTCCATGGGGGAAGGATGAGGCTTTCTGCTCCCGACTGATTTATAGTCTCAGAAACCCTATACAGGGTCGCTATGAGTTAGAACCAACTCCACCATTAAGTTATGTTGAAGCAGCCATATCTCTTTCGGATTTGTTTCAAGTTTTGAAATTTTGCCTCATAGTATACTAAAATGTTAATTTCTAGACTTCTATTCTTGAACAATCTAGAGTGTCTGCTTAGTGAACTGAAGACTCCCAGGAATATGTAGTTAATTAGCATTGCAAAGGTCAGTGATGGCAGTAGACCCCTCAGAGGGGGGTTGGGGCAAAGCATACTTATCAAAACAGCACCGGGTGTAGTCTGGTTAATGAGGGTTTCATTGCCTATTCAACCCACATTCTATACTAATTGCACACATGAAGCACTATTCAATTACAGATAGCAGTAATTTTGATGGTAGTGTTTGGCAATATATCCTGTTCATAAGGGAAGAAAATGAATCCAGGGGGCTCAGCTACTCATTTCTGTTTCTATCCACAGAAATAGTATTCTTTAATATTATAGTGTAATTGATACAAAAAGAAAAAAAAAAAAACAATAGCTTCGTTTCTGAGGAAATTAAACAACTTTAGGCAAAAAGAGGTACAGAGTTACACAATAATGTAGCTTTTGTTTAATACAGTGGACACAGATCCTTTGTTTCCTCTACATAGTCATCGAAGAGTATCTTGTGCGTTTTTCATAGTTTTCAAATGATTCTACAGGTGATCATTGAATCAAGTATGTACTTGGGTCACTGAAATGGGTTCTGTGGAGATTGAGTCCTTGCTGTTAGGAGATTAAAATCTTATTGGGCAGATGATTGCAGTAGGACTTTGCAGACAACAAACTTCCTTAACTAACTTAAATAATGAGAGGGATTTATTATAAGTATACATGGTATCCCATAGAATCCAAGGGCAGGAATGCAGCTGGGCTCTAGGAATCATCTTAAATCAGACACTGGAGCATTGTAGAAAACCCATCTTTTATTTCTCTTATTTCTGCTATTCTCTCACTATGACTGATTCATTCTTCTCTTTTTGTATTCCAGTTTTCAGTTTCTTAATAAACACATAACTTGGTTTATTGCCCTTCATAGATATTGGGCTTTTTCCATATTAAAGGTTTGTAGCAGTCTTGTGTCAAGTCATTGCCATTTTTCCAATAGTATGTACTCACTTCATGTCTCTGTGTTGATTTCGGTAATTCTTGCAATATTTCAAACTTTTTCATAATGCTGTTGCACACTTAATAGGCTATAGGGGTGGTTGTGTGCCATCGAGTTGGTTCTGTATAGTGCTTCTGATGCAGTAAATCTACAGGATTTCCAAGGAGTTACTGGTGGGTTTGAACTGCCAGACTTGTAGTTCAAACCAACTTTGCAGCCCAATGCTTATCCTACAGTGCCACACCAGGACTCCAGTTAACACTGGTAGCAGAAGTTTAATTTTATAAATGCCATTTTTGGCTAAACAAAATAATATCCAGACACTGGAATATTATTTCTCCATAAAAAGAATGAAGTACTGATCCATGCTACAGTGTAAATGAATGTTGGTAAGATTATTTTAAGTGAAATAAGTCAGACACAAAAGGCCACATACAGCATGATTCCTTCTATATAAAATGTTTAGGATAGATAAATCCATAGACACAGAAAGTAGATAAAGTGGTTACCAGGGCCTGGGGAGAGTGGAGAAATTGAGGAACAACTGCTTAAGATCACAGGGTTTCTTTTTGGGGTGATGAAAATATTCTGGAATTTGACAATGGTGATAATTATATAATCTTATGAATTTTTTAAATTACCGAATTGTATACGTTAAAGGAATAAATTTTATTGTATGTGACATATCTCAATTTAAAAAATGCTATTCATCTGTAATGAGCTGTGAGTAAACTGTTATTTTTCTTCATGAGTTTTTTGGACCCATGATATTTGTCTATTAGGATAAAATCTCTTTCTAGTTATGTGAGTGTTGGTATTGAGAACTATGGCAGTTTAAAATGATTTAGGAAAGAATTTCGATTTCTAGATATCTGTAGTGTAAACATGTTGTTGTTGTTGTTAAGTGCCGTTGAGTCGGTTCCGACCCATAGCGACCCTGTACAGGGTTAACATAGAACTGTGGTAATACCAGAGACACTTTCAAATATGAGGAAACTACTAAAAGTTTGTGGAAAGATGGAGTTAAATGATAATGCTATTTTTCATTAAATTTTTAAAGCCCAACTTGGCACTGTAGGATAAGCACTGGCCTGCTAACTGCAAGGTTGGAGGTTCAAACCCACCAGCTGTTCCTCAGAAACGCTATGAATTGGAACCGATTTGACTGCACTTAACAACAACATACTCTTATAATTAACATGATTGGACATGGTCTGTGATTGACTGTGAGAATTCAAATGAGTAAAGGACTGCCCTACAAAGATTAACTATTGAACTGGTTATAGACCATCTTCAGCATATGTACGTTCAGTTACACATCATGTACCTACAATTGTTCAATTAGGAATGCTTATAGGCAGCCTTTTCTTCCAGATCTGTTTCTTGAACTCCCTTATCTAAAAAGGGAGACAGCAAAACCAGTCTCATTTCTGTTCTTTTCTTAGTATCGATCTGGGTCTGGGTCTGAAATGACAAGACTGGTTCAGGAGAAGAGGTGAGAGAAAAAATAGTCTTTGTCATAGCTTCTAACTTTCACCCCCGCCCCAATGATAACTTTCGAAATCCCATTTTTGTATTTTGGTCTTCATCATTTACCTCTTCATGACGCTCCTCACTACCACTCTCTCCTACTTTCTTTCTTTCATTTTTTAAAAATTTTTTTTATTTTAAGCTTTTAATGTGACTTGAGTGATAGTTTACGTGTCAGTACATCAGTGTTTCATTCAACCAATCATATATTGTTTCATTGCAATGATTATGATCCCCTCCATGCACCATCGATTAACAGTATTTGCCTCTATTCTCTTTGTTGTTGTTGTAGTACACAAAACATACAGGAATATATAATTGATCAAAATACCAAAGGGCACATTTTGCAAGCTAGCCTCCTGCCTGCCAGTACATAGCCTTTCTCTTTCCAAGAGTCTAGTGTCCTCAGCTGCTCTATGTCTCCATGCCTCTGACTCTGGTGTTGCTACTTCTCTGGTTAGGATCCCATGTTCCGCTCATGTTCTTCCCTGTTCATAGTCCTAGGGTCCTCTGTTCCTGGAATGTAAGACAAACTACTCCCCTCCTTTGTAGTATACATCTTCTAGCTTTACAGTTGTGACAATCACAAATAGTCATGATAACAGTTACTCACTATTGAATCAGAAGAATCCTATCCCCGTCTTCTTTCACCAGACCCATGTAAACAAGATGAAAACTACTCAGTGGGGATTCTACCCTATCCACTCGCTCTGAAACTAAATCCTGGACACTTCACTCTCAGCTCTAGCCCTCAGTAGCTAGGTCAATTCCCATGGGTGTAGGAGTTCCCAAGTCTCTCCAAACTTCAGACCAACCAGCCCTTCCTCTTCTCTCTCTCATCTCAAGGTTGACAGGAGTCTACGGGACATGGTCAGACTCAGCCCATGTCTTCATTACTGCCTTTCCTCTACTTCCACTCACAAGTAGACCAACATGGTCACCAGCAAGCTTTTAAGCCTTTGAGTGTTCCCTTTGAGTTTCAGTATTGGAAGGGAGTTTATCCTGAAGGGACTGACTTCTCTTGCCTTGATGACTTCCAGGCACAACTTGTTTGTTGTAATAGCCAAACAGTCTGCCTTTTTTTTTTTTTGCCACATGCTGGTCTTTCAAGAAGTATCTTCTGTTCCTCTAGCCTCTCCTAGTTGGTCTGCATGCCCTTTCAAGTGAGAATGTCCCACTTCAGAATGTTCTGGATGGGGCTCAGGGGTCTACCTAAGGCCCCATACTCTACAAAGTCTCCACAAGAAGCCTATTTCACTGTATAAATTCTAGAACCCCTTTTAGATATTCCAATCCGTTATAGGCTGAAGACAGGCTTACAAGCTTTCTGTAATCATATTCCCTAATCTCTCCTATTTCTTAATAAAATATTCAGGAGACTGACTTTGGATATTTCTCTAAAATCTTAAGAACTTATAGTGTTTTTAAGCAGAGCTCCCTCCTTGTGCTGCCAGTGTTTCTGTCTATGTAGACTCCATACTGGATGTTTTTTTATGAAGTATAAGACAGGCTATCATCTGCAATATTTCTCTTTCCAGTGGAAATAAGCTGATTTGCCCATAATAATCTTAAAAAAGAAACTGCTGCAGCACAGCCCTGCGCACATTTCTGAGCACCTTTATGTTGAGGACTCACTTGGAAAGCCAGCAGAGAAAGTCATCGTGGAGATTTCTATTACAGACAGGAACAACAGCAAATCCCAGGAAAACCAGCTTCAAAACAATGTGAACATCAGAGGAAAACTAGAACTTGAGTGTAATTAATAATTGTCACAACATCAGAAGGAAAGAGGGAGCTTATAGGAAATAGGAACCCACCCACACAGGCTTCACACTACATGACAACTCAAGCAAATAGAAGCAAATTGATATGGTATCCAAAGAGGTAGGATAGCTAATGACTGCAGAAAGAAAATGTGATGAAATTTTAAAAAAAGAAAGAAGGAAAACAAACTAAAAATACCGATGGTGGCAGTGCAGGGCAGAAAGGAGGCCATGGTGCAGGGAAACGGTGATGCTGAAGATTTCAGAAAGCTAGGAACTCCTCCCCATGCTCTCTACATCTCCCACCCCCCAGTCCCAGTCTAAGGTAAAGTACATTTCAGAACAGAAGTCATTGGAAAGCTTTCAG